TAGTTGTGGTCATAATTGAGAATTGTTGGTGAGATCATTTGTTCACCTGTTAAAATTTATGCTCCTGGGGAGGTTGGGAACTTCAGGATGTTGAAGTTTTGAATCTGTTGCTATAGGGAATGAGATACAGAATCAACAGTGAAGTTTGAATCACTGGCATTTCTAATGAAATTACTAAGTTGAAAGACATTTTCCTCCAGGCATGCACTTTTACCCAGAAAGGAGTGAAGAAAACAGCAAGAAGTTTCCAGGGATGGAATTTGGGAAAAGAAGTGTGAAACCTTCAGGAGGCATTATAGATACACTGGCTAAGCTTTCCCAAACTGTTTGAATAAGAAATTGCAAATTGGGTTGAATGCAGAGTGAAATCAGATAGGCATGATTGCTGCTGCAGCAAGGGGGTAATGGAGGGCACCAGGTCCCAACGAAGGTGCAGATAAGGTCATTTTGACTAATGGAGAAACATTTGATGCTCAGGTTGAAGCAGCAGTTAGGATCTAAGGACCCGAAGAAAAGAAGTTTCCAAGGATGATGCAACTAGGCTGTGGACATGCCAACACGTGGGTGGATGGGTGGCTATGGAGGCCACAGGAGTTCAACGGCTGAAAGAAATATGAAGGCTACAATGTGAGTATGGTAGCAGGGAAAGGAGAGGATGAGGTTGTGATGCAGGAATCAGCCAGTATGGAATAAGTGTTCACCATGGAATATAAGAAAGGGTAGGGGTGGAAATTACCTATTATTTCTATTGAAGTGGAGGCTGAGGAATTGTTAACCTTGCACAGTGTCCATTTTGATCAATTTACACATTTGACATGCCTTATGAAAACATAGGATTATAAATTGAAGCATGATACCACCAGTCCAAAGTGGACTGGAGACTTGTGTTCATTTCTTGGAGTCTCAATTTCAGATAGATTCCACATGTTGCAACTCCAGACTAGAGAAACCAGAATAGCAGAGAGAACTCAAACTTCTATTGTTTTGGCATGTGTGTGTGTGTGTATACATATATATATATATATATATATATATATATATATATATATGTATATATATATATATGATTTAAAAGAAAAAGTTCAAATGGAATATAATTTTTCAAATTTTATTTTTCATGTAAAAGAGAAAATTGATTTCATAATTGTAATTCTGGAGGCTTAGAAATAAGATTAATGGATGGAAGCTATTGAGAAGCAAATTTTTAGTTAATGCAAGGAAAACACCAGTTAGGACTTTCTCCAAATGAAATTGCTTCCTCTTGAAGTAATGAATTCCATACCATGGATAATGTTTACACTAGACAAAGAAATTCTTCATACCATTGGCTTCACAGAAAATCAGAGTTGGGATGGCCTAGAAGTTTGTTAGAAATTCAGATTGTCAGGACTTTTCAAATATCTGCATTTAAAAAATCTGCACCCTGACAACATCCTCAGGTGACTGCTGTACACATTAAAGCATTGAGCTGAGGTCATTCCCCACTCTGATGACAATTGGGCTCACAAACGATAACCTGTTCCTAGTCTGTGAATTTTATCACATATTTTGATTTTCAAAGCATGTTTTTCTTCCTTGGTTTGTCTCTGTTTTTTTAAAATTTCAAATGTCAAATGAAAAAGTCTATTGGAGTTTGACTCTTCATATTAGGTTTAATTTTATGAGATTATTTTCAGATTACATCATCACAAAGTTCATCTACTTAATAAGAGCTGTGAAATGCCACTTTTTGAAAATAACTTTGTGCCTCATGAGCTCTACGCCTAAAATATAGTTTTAACAATGCATTGAAAACAACAAAAACCATAACATCTGAAAGCCTCTGTTAGCACTTGCTTTGTGTCACCACCCTTATTGATTGCTCCATGTGGACTCTTGGAACCTTTTAGTCACTAGGAGTTTGCTTTGATTCTTCAATAGGAAACTGTTTGTGATGAAGGAACTTAGAAGAATTGTTACTTTCTTGCTTTTTCTTTATTCTCCCCTTTTAAAAGCAAATTTGTATTCTTTTCTTTTTATTACTCAGAGTTATCCAACATTCTAGATTGTTACTTCTGAGACAACTCAAGCCTTGTTTTCCTTTAAGTGTCTGGTGAGCACAACAATGATTTGTTTTTCAACAGAGAAGTAAATTGATAAACTGTGGTAGCAATTATTCGTATGTATTTTTTTTGTTCAGAAAGTACATTCCTTGAGTTTTTTCTCCAAATGGAAAAAATTTTAATTAGCATAAATATGATACAGTGTAACAGGGAAACATCATAGAAATGAATAGGGCTTTCAACTACAAACCTCTCTCATGACCTGATATTGTTTTGTGTGTGCATAATAACTGAGCTGTATGACAAATCTCTGCTGTCAGCAATGGAACATCACGATTTACAACATCTCCCTTCCAAAGGGAGTGTATCACTACTTACAAAAGTAGCTGATTTATAGCAAGTGGCAAGAAGCAAGAAATCTTGGTTTTTATGGTAAAAAAAAAAAATGGCAGTTACTGTAAAGTTTTTCTTCTTTGAGTTAGGGAAAGATTTGCTATTTGTGATGACTAATATGCTTGGCAACCTAACTGAAGACTTACTAAGTCAAATCATCTTTTGTCAAACGGTAATTCCATTATAGTCAAAAAACATATATAAAGTGTGTTTCTCCTTGCTTTGTAAATATTCTGATAACACTTTTATGTGTGAAGCCCAAATATGAGAGTGATGCCGATTTACTTTTTTGTTTGCTTAATCACCACTAATTATGTTCCCTTTATTACCACTCACCCTCTTATCTGTCCCTTCCTTCTTGCTCCCCCAAATGCATCTCTAAGATTTTACTTGAATTCTGGTTTTGTTTTAATAAATCAATACTCTTTGAAAATGACAAAAAAATATCATGCCAATCTCTCACGGCATGAAGGATATGTTTAGAATTTTTTTAAAAACCAAAAACCTAAATATGCTTTAAAAACTTTCTACTTTAGGCTAGGTGTAGTGGTGCACGCCTATTATCCCAGCACCTGGGGGAAGCTGAGAAAGAAGATCATGAGTTTAAAGCCAGCCTCAGCAATTTAGCAAGGCACTAAACAATTCATTGAGACCCTGTCTCTAAATAAAATACAAAATGGGGCTGGGGATGTGGCTCAGTGGTGGAATGCCCCTGAATTCAATCCCTGGTACCAAAAAAAAAAAAAAGGAAAAGAAAAAAAGAACACCAATAACAAAGAAAACTTGCTACTTTAATTGGTATTCCTTTGGGTTCTTGTAAATTTAAGACATTTGTCTTTGTGTGTTTACACATTTCATTTTCTCTGGGTTGAAACATCTCCTTGTGATGTTTTCTTCTATAGTTTTTTTGGATTTGCAACAATTTTCTCTTCTTTTGCTAATCTACTTTTCCAGTGTTAATTTCCCTTTCCTCCACCATTTTAGGGTCCCTTGCATTCTACTTTCTCGGGGCTGCTGATGGGCATCTCACCTGCTGACTTGCTTTTCCTCATTGTTTTTCATAGTATCACTGTGGTGAGGATCCTCTCTTGTACAACACTTACCCATAGCCTATCCATCTGTCAAGACCTGTGTCCCATAAGTTACCTCCCTGACTACTTTGGTGGTATTTCCTCTGAAGTATTTTTCATCTGCTCACAGGCCTTCTCATTCTTGCTTTGACTGTGATGTCCTCAATGCATGAGGATTCATCTAATTATTTCTATACTTCCACTGCTGTGTGTTCATTTGTCCATTTATCCAGAGCTTTTATTATGAAATCACCATTCCATTCATTTTTGTATTGTATAAGTGCTGAGAACTTTTGGAAAATCACTTTCTAGTAGTGAAGCAAGACCTTTGCTTTATAAATCTCCATAAAGAGCAATGAAAGTTATGGTGGAAGATAAATGTGCAACCCAGCCTGGTGCTTCTGGTGGACCAAACAAATGACCAAGAACCATACTTAACTGCCTTGATGGGACATGCCACTTCATCATTTGTAGGTTATCAAGCCACAAAAGCCCATGTGGAAGGATAGTTTAGTAGTAATTTTCTCAATTAATAGCTGTACTTTTCCTTTGCAAGGGAAAGAAATGAGAAGACAGCAACTACATCACAATACAACATAGGAAAAGTGAATCAAAGACCACAGATTATACATTTATATAATTATTCTATTTTGAATGGGTTTCTTCAGAATTCTACAAATAAGCATGTGACCAAGATCAAAGTAAAGGGGAGTTTGATTTGGTTTTCTGATCAAAGTGATCCAGAGAAGCAAAAGAAAAGACAACAGGGATCTTTCAATCCATGATGGAATTGACCTGAGACAAGTTATGACATTAGTGCCTCCTTATGTTAGACAATGACAGTGATTGATCTAAAAATAGGTAAAATTAGAAAATGTGTGGTATGCTAATATCTTTTCTCCTTATCAATAGCTGCCATAATATTTTAACACTTGTGATTTTCTTCAAGTGGCAGGAACAAAATCATAAAAACATTTTACCATTAGAATTCCATGAATCCCACACCTTCTGTTTTCTTCTAAATTTCACCCCAACTCTAAAATATATAAAGTGAGATTAGCATTTATGAAAGTTTTATAAATTTGAAAATTAATTATTTTGTAAATTTTCCTCAAATTTCCAATGCAGCCAAATTTTTTTTCCCCCTAAATGCCTGGTCTTTCCTTGTCTGTAAAATAAGGCATCCCCTTTCACCTGTTTTTATATATATTTGAGTATGACTGTCACTAATATGGCATTATGTAAAAATGTGGATGTGTAACCGATGTGATTCTGCAATTTGTATTTGGGGTAAAAATGGGAGTTCATAACCCACTTGAATCAAATGTATGAAAGATGATATGTCATGTGCTTTGTAATGTTGTGAACAACCAATTAAAAAAAAGACTCAAATATATATATATATATATATATATATATATATGTTGTATAATATATATATGTTGTATAATATATATATGTTGTATAATATATATATTTTTTGTATAATATATGCATTTTGTATTGGGTGTAGGAGAAGCAGTAGAAAACCAGCCCCTATACTGGGTCCTATTCAGTGGCAGCTTCTTATTCCTTATGCTTAAGGAAGACTTTGAAGAAATAAAAGTTGTTTGGAAGAATCCAGGTGTAGTTGCTTTGCATATTGTGATGGGTAGAAGGGATGAAGTGAAGTGTGAAGGCCACTCACACCCTCTATCTTGCCTCAGACTGTGTCCTGGAACCCTGGGGTGGAGAAAGCGCCACTTTCCTTCCTGCTTCTGGGGGTTGTTGACGGTCATGTTGTGATAGAGAACCACAGGTAAGAAGACAGACATGCCCACCTTGTTAGCGAAGATGGCAAGCTGCACGTCTGTGATCATCCTGACCAGCTTGACTTGGCTCCGATGCTGCCTGCACACCAGCTGGAGGAGAGGTCTATATTTTAGAAGGTGACTAGAATCTCATTTGACTTGTTTCCTTTGCTTCCAGTATTCCCACATTCCTCATCAAAAGCTAAAAACAGATGTGTTAAATTTTGCTTGTGAGTGCTTGGATTCCTAGTAGCGTTGCATAAAGTTCATAATATGACCATAATATTAATTTGTCACAATTTCAGCTGATATTCCTTATCTTAGCTTATGATATATATGTTCAATTCACTTACTTTATTTCTAAGCAAAGGATGTTTTCTGGTTACATATCTGCCCAAATGTGAACCCAGTACTTAACAAAAGAGCTGGATTGACTGGCATCCTCGTTACAGTAAAGCATACAGTTAGTACTGTGGGAATCCCTTTTGAGTTACTGAAATCAGAAAACTTAGATGATTATGATAATGAAAAAGTGAAACTAGGTAGAAGGTTATTAATTCATGGAGCAAAGTAAGACTCAAAGAACCTATAGTGATTGAAGAAATCTGGAAGAAAATAGGTAAGTCAATGAATGTCAACTTCAGCCAGAAATGTCATGAGTAGGACCTGAACCAAAGGTAAGGCTGACATCCAGTTGTATATTTCCTAATAAAAAAATACTTTTCATAGTGAGATCAAAGATGCAGATAGATAGGTCTGTAAACCCACAGTTCCTGGAAAGCCATGAAAGCACAGAAACCATATTTCAACTTCACTGGTTCTAAGCTTGATTTTTTTCTTTTCAACCCAGAGAGAATGACCTTGACATACACATACCAAAATTTCAATTTACAAGGAAGGTTATACACAGACATATTATATTTTCCCATGGTAAAATGTAAATGAAATGCAAAATTATAACTGTAAAATTTGTTGAGTACAATGGCAAAAACAAAGAAAGAAAAGCACCAGACCTCATTTCTGACAGTAGATAAGTCTATTTTGTAAACATGATAATTTTAGATTATCATGAAAGCTATAAATAAAATAAATTGGAGTCATGTGAGAGAAATTTAACCAAAAAAGTAGGTTTTCTATTTTATTTATTTATTGTTCTCCTCTAGAGTAAGCTGAAGAAGTGACATTTTACCTAAGACCTGAAAGATGAGGATGTTCAAACCATACCAGAATGCAAAGGAAGAATGCCCAGGCAGGAGAAATAAGAAAATCCTTACCTATACAGGTGTTGGTGTCATATTGTAACTTTCAGGATTTGGGAAAGACATTTAAGATATTGTTTTTTCTTGCTGTGGATTGACATTTCTGGCACTTCTAAGGGTAAATTTAAAAACAAATTCCATTTCTTTTCACTTCACTACCACCATCTGCCTTTCTACTCCCCTTCTGCACACTAAACAAAACAGTATTAAAACATCGATTTGTCATTCACACAAAGGGAATTTACTGCCAAGACTGTACCTAGGATGGGTGCAGCAAGAGGCAAAAACCACTTACAGTGCTTGACAGTTTCCAAAACACAGATATCAACATTGACTTAAGACCTTTGAGCCAGCAGCAAGGAGTTCTGGTAGAGATGATTATGTGTTATCTTTGTGATTTATGTATGTGTTGACTTTAACGACGAGTGGTCTATGGCTTTCAAATCAGAGTTTCACTTTGGATCTATTTTTTAAAAATAATATAAATAGAGTTTAAAGTTGCTTGGAAATAACCTTTAGAATGCAATTTAAAAATAGTAAGTACAAAATAAATGTAAAACACTGTCAACCAATTCTTTAATAGATGGAAAAATAAATATTTAGGTGATATTGCATTTTTAAAAACAAAATGATCTGCAAGTTGAAGAGTATGAATAGCCCTAAAATGAAGAAAAATAGCTAGAAACTTTCATTCAGAGCATTACTTGTGACTCTTTATGTACTTTTAAGTAGTCTGATACTTGAAGACTTTTTTTGGAAAATAAGTGATGAAATGTTTCAAAGGCTATATCAATGAATTACGAACATTCAGAAGGACAGATGAAAATCTTGGAATCTCCTACTGCTCTTTTATGACCATCTAAAGAAAAGTCATGCCAGCAGTAAGATGCTTCTTCATTAAGAGTTCAGAACACTTTATCCCTGGAGTTTTTTCCTATTTATTTTCCTGTCTAGAAAATATGGCACTAAAATCCCTCCTCACCTTTGCATTTAAAGAAGGAATAAAGCTGCTGATCTTCTTTGCATGGTTGTGTGTTCAAACTTCAACCCAATTTAAAACCTATCACATTACCAAAACATTTGAAACATTAGAATTTTAGGAATAGCACATATTTGCTAAAACACTGGGTATATTCTAGGGCAAGTGGTCATTGATTAATTTTTAAAGAACATAAAATGCAAATCAACTTTTTGTAGAAACTTTTAGTGCTTGGAAAATATTCTGAAGACATTTTCCACTGAATCATTAAACAAAAGTATCTCATTGATCTCTAGATGAGTAGAATATATGACTTTAGAATTGAAACTGTCCAAATTCTAGAAAGTGTCAAACAAAGAGATTAGGACTATCTGGAAGTTAAAAATTTAGGTAGAAATATCAATATTTTAGCTAAATAAAAGCAAATTTAAAACAAATTAAAATAATAATGTATGATATTCTTTATTAAATAAACTTTCCTACTTATCAATTTGCTTTCCATATTTTATAAGAACTTATTCATATGATTAAATTCAGGTGTGTTTTAGCAGAAATGGCTCAGAATTCGGTCCACAGATGTGGTTTACAATCTCACCTTGATTACTAGCTAACTAATGCAGATTTTGAAATTTTTATGCAAACATGAGGTCTAGATGACTGCTAAGTTCCCTTGGACTTTTAAAGCCAGTGATTCTGAAACTGATGCTGATAAACAAAAATTCTGGGAATTTGGGTGGAGTGGAGTTGGATAGCATTGCATTTACATCTCTCTGCCTTGTGTCAGAGTGTTTCATTTTCATTACCATCTTTAGTGATAAAACACACAAATTAGTTTTGAACATAAATGTCATTAATAAATCATACATTTTAAACACTGGTGTAACCACTGAAAAACTAGCTAAAGGGCTTTGAAATTAGGAGAAGAAACATAGGTATGTTTTTCAACAGTGATAAAAAAAAAATAAATAAAATCTAGTCTATCTAGAGACAAAAAAAAAATTCCAAAACAGATCATAGAAAAATTCTGGAAAGCACTGTTGGATGTAAAAAAAAATAGAGGTAAAAAGAAAGAATAGGCAGCTTAAAAATTTTAGTTAAGTACATTCAAGAAGAAGGTACTATGTGCCTTGGGCTACAGAGAAAGCTGCTAGGACACCCGCTAATTTTTTTTTTTTTTTTAAGAGAGAAGAGAAAGGGAGAATTTGGATTTTTCTTTGCAATTCCCTTTAGTTTTCGGCGGACACAACATCTTTGTTTGTATGTGGTCCTGAGGATCGAACCCGGGCCTCACGCATGCCAGGTGAGTGCCCTACAGCTTGAGCCACATCCCAACACCCACTAAATTTTACAACCTGTACCATCTGTGATTCAGAGGCTCCTGGAAGCAAGTTTACAATTTTTAAATAAATGATGGAGAATTCTGAGTTTTAAGGGGTTTTAGTTGCAAAATTTCACATTATCTTGTAATTTCTCACCCCTTTACATGTAGCAGCTGGTTCTTTCTTTTTTTTTTTTTTTAAATCAGAAATTTATTGGTTGCTCAAAACATTACATTGATCTTGACATATCATATATCATACATTTGATTCAAATGGGGTATGAATTCTTATTTTTCCACATGTACAGATTGCAGGATCGCATTGGTTATACAGCCATGTGTATACATACTGCCATACTAGTGTCTGTTGTATTCTGCTGCCCTTCCTATCCCCTTCCTATCCACCCTCCCCTCTCCTCCCCTCCCCTCCCTTCACCTCTTTCTACCCATCTACCCTAACTCATTTCTCTCTCTCTCTCTTTTTTTTTCCCTTTCCCCTCACATCCTCTTATATGTATTTTTGTATAACAATGCAGGTCTCCTTCCATCTCTGTGCAATTCCCCTTCTCTCTCCCATTCCCTCCCACCTCTCATCCCTGTTTGATGGTAATCTTCTTCTCATGCTCTTCCTCCCTGCTCTGTTTTGAGTCATGTCCCTTATATCAAAGAAGACATTCGGAATTTGTTTTTTAGGGATTGGCTGACTTCACTTAGCATAATCTGATCTAATGCCATCCATTTCCCTGCAAATGCCATGATTTTGTTATTTTTTTAGTGCTAATATTCCATTGTGTATATATGCCACATTATTTTTATACATTCATCTATGGAAGGGCATCTAGGTTGGTTCCACAGTCTAGCTATTGTGAATTGTGCAGCTGGTTATTTCTGAGAGGTTGAAGAGAGAGGATATGCCCAACCTTGCTTGAATGTGCAACCTACATGCCCTCTTTAGATTCTGCAGAAATACACAGGAAGATTTTCACTGTTGTTATTGCGATCTAGCCAGGAAATGGTGGAGACAGGATTTGGACTTTGACTCATTCCAGACCCCTTACTTTTAAGTACTTTGTGATTCCTAGTTTGTTGTGTTTGTATTTTGTGGTTGCCATATATTAGTAAATAGAACCAGAGGTTGTCAACTTTGATCAAATTATGCAAAGCAGAGCTTCATTAGAGTGTCTCTTGGATGAACTGTTCAAAGAAACCATGTTTCCTCTGGGTTTCATATTTAAGTTCCAGAACCTGTTGAGGAGATTTTTTTTTTCCCCTAATGAATGGTCAGAAAAACTTCTCTCTGTAGTGATAGTCTTCATTTTTTACCACAATGAGTAAATTTAGTTCTGTTAACATCCATAGTTAACACTTGGATACAAAGTAGTATATCACCCAACATCTTAATAATCCTAGAAGTTCTGACATCAATGAATTAGGGGTTCTTTTAAAATGCATTGAACTTCTTCAACATCATTCAGTAGTATCTTTATATCTCTCACATTGACCAATTAAGCCC